CAGTTCTACTCACGCATTGCGCAGTGGGTACCCGGGATGTGAAGCCGCAAGCAGTCACAGCCAGGTGCCCACACTAAAGATGCCGGCCTTCCTGGAATACAGGTACGGCTGGTGACACGGGCCTGCGGGAACACACCAACGGGACCGAGGGGACAGGTAAGTGGGCTATTTTCAAAAACAAGTCAGCAGCTACAGTTTTTTTGTAGCTGCATGACTTTTTTTTTTGATTGGTTGAGTGGAACTCCGCTTTAAAGTAGAGCAGCGCAGTATAGCAAAAAATGGCCCCCGTCTTGAAGGGGGTAAATCTTCTGGAGGGCAAGTGGTTATAGTGGAAAGCCTGGGAAACTTCTGTGACTAAGCTGGCATTCCTAGCACTCATATGTACTGTGCAGACTTCAGGGATTGTGATATCTAAACGGGGCCGGCTGAGGGGTAAATATCTCAGGGTAGACTGGGGCCACCTAAAAAAAAAAATCTAAATGTCATTCTAAATTTAAAGAATAGAATGTTGATGTAAGTCAAAATTGTGGCTTTCCATCTGTTGCACAGTTTCACTAATATCCTGACATGGAGTCCAAAAGGCTTAACGTAGAGCTATTGGCAAAAACTTTTTTTTTTTAAATTTTGGAGCAAGGGAGGAGATTTCCCTTCACTTCCTGTCCCATAGCCAAACAGGAAGTGAAAGGAAATCCTTGCAAATTAAGGAAATCCTTTGAGGACCCCCAGATTACAAAAACTAGTGTCCCTATTGGAAGATTTCCCCTCTATTACTTTTCTGGGGACAACCCAAAATTTAGGATTTTCTTTTACTTCCAATGATCATGGTAAAAAAAAAAGACAAATAGAGAGGGTGAATCTCCTTAATGGGGATGACTTTAGGAACAGTCCACCGCACAAGACTGCTAGACCGCCGAGGAAGGGGGGTGGTGTAAGAGCAGAAGGGTCTTGTGCTGGGAGGATAAGCGGCTCCCTATCCTCTAGACCAGGGGTCTCCAAACTTTTTTTTACAAAGAATTTTATTATAGAATAGATAGGAGCAGCGAATCAGTCAAAAACAGATACATTGACCAACAGGAATAAAACATACAAGGTATTCGATTGATATTACAAAATACGTATTGATGGAGAGACATAGAAATAAACAGCATACTTAAGTGCCGAGTACAGAAAGAGGGAAAAAAAAAAGGGGGGAGAAAACAATAAGTTGCAAAAATGGGAAACGTTTATAGACCAATGAGAATATCAACTCTAAGAAAAATTGGCACTATATTAGCATATAGAAAGCGGAGATGATATGAGATGGAACCTCTCTGAATAAAAATGGGAATTCACACGCAAGGCTCCCGATGGAGTCCAGCATAAGGATATAGTATTGCTGGTGCGGCACTCAAAGCAATAATCACAATCAGTACACATAGCATGAAAACAGACTGGACAAAAGGAAAGAGAGGAACGAAGAGGAAGGAGACGTAAACGAAAACAAAAAGGGCTCCAGGGGGATCGCAGCAGAAAAAAAAAAAGAAAAAAAAACTGATATGTAAATTTTATATCGACAAAAGGGACTGGTCGAATCTCAATGGTTGGGCTATATCAAGCCAGGGACGCCATGTCTGCAGGAATTTTGTGTGGGTGTCTAACAGTATAGCCGTCAATTTTTCATTGACCATTATGTAGTTCATCCGGCTTTTGACAGCTTCGAAGCTGAGAAGGGGAGTCTTCCAAGCCCTCGCGATCGTCAGCTCAGTAGCCATAAATAGGTGTGATGCCAGCTGCCGTTCGGGACGAAGTAGGCCTATTAATGGTTTAAATAAAAGTGCTTCATACGGTTGCGCTTAATGTCTGCGTGAAAATAGTGTGGAGGAGGGCATAAACTCTGTGTCAGGGACCATCGCGACGCATGGGTCTAACATGCGTAGGTGTCTGTCAAGACATGCAGGCAGCAGGGCACTAGGACCCAGGCGCACCCGTCGTCTATGACAGTACTGGGCAGGCACTAGGACCTAGGCTGCACCTGTCAGGTGCAGATCGGGCTACTTAAACCAGCCCTGCACAGACACTTGTTGCCGAATGGTCTTTGCGTATCCTGTTGCCTGTGTTGTGAGTACTCTGATCTGGATTGTCTGACCTTGTTGCCTTCTCCTGTCCTGACCCCTTGGCTTGCCTGACTCTGCTCCTGGATGCTCCCTTATAGATCTGATCTTCTGGTATTGACCCTGCGTGTGACCCGACTATCCCTTGCCCACCGTCTTGTACCGCACCGAACCGCTAGTTACCGACACAGCCTGTTTGACTCTGATCTTGCTCATCCATCCCTCAGGGATCCCCGGGCTCCCTCACATCAGACTCTTAACCCACAGGAGCCTCTGGCAGACTCCTCTACCTCTGGTAGAGATACCCGGTAGCTGCGACCTGGTCCCGGAACGCTCCAAGTCCATCCCCACCATCAGGGGCCCTGGTGAACAAGTGTTCCGGTACTTAGACTCTGCACTCTGGGGAGGCTCTATCAGGGGACTGATAGAGGTGCTGTCAGGTGGTCCGTTACACTCTGATCCACAATCTTCAAACCTTAGGACAAGTCCACCAAATATGGACCATAGTACCCATTTGTTGACAGCCCCGAAAACAAGTTGGGGAATATGTAGGGATAAAACGAGCCAGACGAGCAGGCATGTAATACCATCTATAAAGAACCTTATAAGCATTTTCTAGTATAATAACATTCCTAGAGCATTTAGATAACGCTTGGGTCATGGTCCGCCAATCCTGTTGATCCAGAGTGCTCCCGAGTTCCGACTGCCAACGCTGATGATAAGAATGGACCAGAGTTCTAGAAGAAGTAATAGGAGAATAGACCAGAGAAATTAAGCCCGGAGCATGGGGTCTATGTCTACATTGATTTTCAAAGGGTGACAACCTGTAGGGTCCCTAGTGTGTCTGTATTAATGTATTGATAAAGGTGGCGGATTTGAAGATAGCCATAATGTTCCCGCAATGGGATATCATGAGAGGAGCGCAGAGTTTCAAAGGTGAGTATTCGAGTGGGAGATAGCACCGAATGTACATCAAGGAAGCCATGTGCTTGCAACCAAGCAAAACTGTCCAGGGTTATCACGACCCGGGGGGGAATAATGGGTTATTTAGCAAACGTAGTAACGGTAGGTGGGCAGAGATGAGACCAATATTTAATAGAATACCAAAGACAGAGCGTTAGCGTCAGCGTCAGACTAAGGGATGAAGGTCGATGAGTAGAGGGAAGCCACTGCAAAGAAGAGAGTGGAATCGGGTGGGAATCCATCAGGTCTACAGTAGCCCACAAGGGAAAGTGGTGAGATGCATGGAGATGGGCTGTCAGGAATGGACTGGCCAGCAATGGTGGGACTCACCTGCCTTTTGATCTGCAGTACCAGGGCTGGCCAGCGGGTGCTCCCAGCAATCAGAGACTCAACCTTTCAGCCAGCTAACACCTGGAACTGATGATGCTGGGGTATTTAAGGGATGGCCAGACCCACAGACTCTGCCTTGGTGTTGTGTTTGTCCTGGGCCCTGTATCTGTCCTGCATCCTGTTTCTGTCCCTCTGCCTGACCCTCTGTACTACGCTGCTTGTTACCTGTTTTGATCCCTGGCTTGTGACCCTGACCATCCCTCTGCCTGACCTCTGTACTACGCTGATTGCTACCTGCTGAACCTGGCCTGTGACCCCGACCATTCTCTGCTTGCTCCCCCTGTACCTACCTGCCCAATTGATATTGACCCGGCCTGCCTGACGACGCTTGCTTGTATGTACTGTTATCTGTGGGTGATTGGTTGGGTTTGTTTGCACTGTATTATGTTTAGTATTGCACTGCGTTTATGTTTGTATGGTTAGTGTTAATAAATTGTATTGTTTATAACATATCTGAAGTCTGCGTTTCCCTGCATCAGTCACACACCTCTGGTCATACCTGGGAGCCCTGACATTACACCAAGGCCAATCCTGACCAGAAGTGGCTGCACAGGGAAGCCATCTTGGCTTGTTGATGGGAAGGATGGATCTTGATGAGGTTGAATATTTATATCTGCTAGTGTTTGATGACAGGGAGTATGCTTATCAAACTCTGTAGGAGTATACCCGGGATGAATTGCTAGAATGTATACGGCTCGCTCATGTTCTAGTAGATCAGGGCACAGAGTTCTCTGAGGTGCAGCCATTGATTGAGGTTTGTGCTGAGTTGGTTTCATCTGGTACCCCCGAATGCAGGGATGAATTTTTGCCACCATTTAGTGCAGACCAGGTAGAGTCCCTGGTGTGGTTATTAGAGGATGATGTGGGTTACTTTCTGGAGCGTTATTCCACATGTTCACCACAGACACTAAGAGATTGTATAAACGCAGTGCAGTCATTGACCAGACAGGCTTTGTGTAAGCTCAGCTTTGTTCAACCCATACTGCAGACATGGACAGATTTGTTGCACCCAGCCTCAGTCAGCTTACAAAGACCCAGTCCTGCTTCTAATCTATTTCCTCAAAACTCTATTCCTGCATTCCCAACAGCTCCTCCTGCCCTGCTATCTACCGCATGTCAGTACCCTGTTCCCACTCGCTGCACCTATCCTGCCTTTAACCCTGTAAAAGAGCCCTCTGTAGCAACTGCTCCCTCTCCTGTTCCATCCTCCAGTTCTTCTCTGTCTCCAGCTGCTCCATTCGTTTGCAGACCTGCGTTTACTTGCAGTGCTCCAGTAGTTAAAACCAGAAAAAAGCGAAAATTCTTTCCAACCAATACCATCCTGCCAGTATCCAAACCGGTGAGCCTGCCTTCCGTGGTTCAGCCTGAAGCCTCTACTCAGCCTGAAGCCTCTACTCAGCCTGAAGCCTCTACTCAGCCTGAAGCCTCTACTCAGCCTGAAGCCTCTACTCAGCCTGATGCCTCTACTCAGCCTGATGCCTCTCTTCAGCCTGATGCCGGTACGCAGCCTGATGCCTCTCTTCAGCCTGATGCCTGTATGCAGCCTGAATGCCTCTCTTCAGCCTGATGCCTCTACTCGGCCTGATGCCTCTACTCGGCCTGAAGCCTCTACTCGGCCTGATGCCTCTACTCGGCCTGAAGCCTCTACTCGGCCTGAAGCCTCTACTCGGCCTGATGCCTCTACTCGGCCTGATGCCTCTACTCGGCCTGATGCCTCTACTCGGCCTGAAGCCTCTACTCGGCCTGAAGCCTCTACTCAGCCGGATGCCGGCATTCAGCCTGATACCTCTACCCAGCACGATGAACTGATCCAGCCTGACGATCCTATTAGGCCAGTTGACTCGATGCCCGCTGTTGATCCAGATGATCCGGTACCTGATCCGGTGCCCGCTGTCAAGCCAAATGACCTGATGCCTGGTGACCCAGTGCCCGCTGTCATACCTGGTGACCCGATGCCCGCTGTCGAGCCAGACAATCCGGTACCTGATGACCCGGTGCTCACTGTCGTGCCTGTTGACTCGGAGCCCACTGCCTTGCCAGATGACGCGGTGCCCGCTGTCGAACCAAATGACCTGATGCCTGGTGACCCGATGCCCGCTGTCCAGTCAGACGATCCAATGTCTGACCCAGTGCCCGCGGTCATACCAGTTGACTCGGAGCCCACTGCCTTGCCAGATGACGCGGTGCCCGCTGTCGAGCCAAATGACCTGATGCCTGGTGACCCAGTGCCCGCTGTCCAGTCAGACGATCCAATGTCTGACCCAGTGCCCGCGGTCATACCAGTTGACTCAGAGCCCACTGCCTTGCCAGATGACGCGGTGCCCGCTGTCGAGCCAAATGACCTGATGCCTGGTGACCCGATGCCCGCTGTCCAGCCAGACGATCCAATGTCTGACCCAGTGCCAGCGGTCATCCCAGTTGACTCGGAGTCCACGGTTGTGCCTGGTGACTCGGTGCCCGCCCGCCCCGCCTGCCTGGGGGCCTGAGACCTGTCGTTCCGCCTGGGGGTCCGGCGCCCGCCGCTCCGCCTGGGGGCACGATGCCTGTCGCCCCGCCTGGGGGCACGATGCCTGTCGCCCCGCCTGGGGGCACGATGCCTGCCGCCCCGCCTGGGGGCCCGGCACCCGCCGCCCTCCTGGGGGCCCGGTGCCCGCCGCTCCCGCCCGGGGGCCCGGCGCCTGCCGCTCCGCCCGGGGCCCGATGCATGGCGCCCCGCCCGGGAACCCGGTGCCTGCTGCCCCGCCGGGGGGCCCGGTGCCTGTCGCCCCGCCCGGGGGGCCCGATGCCTGTCGCCCCGCTCGGGGGCCCGATGCCTGACGCCCCGCCCGGGGGGCCCGGTGCCTGCTGCTCCGCCCGGGGGCCCGGTGCCTGCTGCTCCGCCCGGGGCCCGATGCACGTCGCCGCCCGCCCGGGGGCCCGATGCCTGTCGCCCCGCCCGGGGGCCCGATGCCTGTCGCCCCGCCCGGGGGCCCGATGCCTGTCGCCCCGCCCGGGGGCCCGATGCCTGTCGCCCCGCCCGGGGGCCCGGTGCCTGCTGCTGCTCCGCCCGGGGGCCCGGTGCCTGCTGCCCCGCCTGGGGGCCCGGTCGCCCCGCCCGGGGGCCTGGTGCCTGCTGCTCCGCCCGGGGGCCCGGTGCCTGCTGCTGCCCGCCCAGGGGCCCGGTGCCTGCTGCTCTGCTCTCGGGGCCCGATGCATGTCGCCCCGCCCGGGGGCCCGGTGCCTGCTGCTCCGCCCGGGGGCCCGGTGCCTGCTGCTCCGCCCGGGGGCCGGTGCCTGCTGCTTCGCCTGGTAATCCGATGTGCCTCTGCCCGGAGTCCTGCCCGATGTGCCTCTGCCCGGAGTCCTGCCCGATGTGCCTCTGCCGGGAGTCCTGCCCGATGTGCCTCTGCCCGATGTGCCTCTGCCCGGTGTGCCTCTGCTCTATGTGCCTCTGCCCGGTGTGCCTCTGCTCGATGTGCCTCTGCCCGGAGTCCAGCCCGATGTGCCTCTGCCCGGAGTCCAGCCCGGTGTGCCTCTGCCCGGAGTCCAGCCCGGTGTGCCTCTGCCCAGAGTCCAGCCCGGTGTGCCTCTGCCCGGAGTCCAGCCCGGTGTGCCTCTGCCCGGAGTCCAGCCCGGTGTGCCGCTGCCCGGAGTCCTGCCCGGTGTGCCAGTCTTTGATATCCCGCCAGTTACCAGACCCGGGCGGTGGAACATTTTGCCCAGCTAGGACTGTTTGGAGCGTCCTGAGGCTGCTCCTTGAGGGGGGGGGTACTGTCAGGAATGGACTGGCCAGCAATGGTGGGACTCACCTGCCTTTTGATCTGCAGTACCAGGGCTGGCCAGCGGGTGCTCCCAGCAATCAGAGACTCAACCTTTCAGCCAGCTAACACCTGGAACTGATGATGCTGGGGTATTTAAGGGATGGCCAGACCCACAGACTCTGCCTTGGTGTTGTGTTTGTCCTGGGCCCTGTATCTGTCCTGCATCCTGTTTCTGTCCCTCTGCCTGACCCTCTGTACTACGCTGCTTGTTACCTGTTTTGATCCCTGGCTTGTGACCCTGACCATCCCTCTGCCTGACCTCTGTACTACGCTGATTGCTACCTGCTGAACCTGGCCTGTGACCCCGACCATTCTCTGCTTGCTCCCCCTGTACCTACCTGCCCAATTGATATTGACCCGGCCTGCCTGACGACGCTTGCTTGTATGTACTGTTATCTGTGGGTGATTGGTTGGGTTTGGTTGCACTGTATTATGTTTAGTATTGCACTGCGTTTATGTTTGTATGGTTAGTGTTAATAAATTGTATTGTTTATCACATATCTGAAGTCTGCGTTTCCCTGCATCAGTCACACACCTCTGGTCATACCTGGGAGCCCTGACATGGGCTAAGGGGGCAATATTGGCCGCCAGATAGTAAGACTGAAGATTTGGGACAGATAACCCACCTGCGGTCTTACAAGCAAATAAGATTTGTTTACTAATTCTGGGTCGAGAAGAACCCTAAATGAAAGATAGGAGTTTTCGCTGATGAATACGCAATATATGTAAGGGAACAGAGACAAGTAAAACTCGAAACACATACAATAATTTGGGAAGATAAGTCATACGGATCGCATTGATTCTACCAAACCACGAAAGCGGATAGTGAGACCAGTTCATTAAAGACGGCGGGGAAATTAGCCCGGTAAAGTCCTTCATAAGTCGGGGTGAGCTTGATTCCTAAATACGACAAGGCCGAGAGCCATTGAAAAGGAAACAAATGTTTCAGAGTAGCCAAAAGTGATGGTGAGAGGGTAATTGACATAGCCCTAGATTTGGCAGGGTTGACATTGAGGCCTGAACCGCAAGTAAATTTGTCAAAGTGACTCCTGGGTTTGTGACCGACAACAATATGTCGTCAGCAAACATAGATAACTTATGCTGAGAACCAGCTACGTCTATTCCCTTAATATCAGGGTGCATACGAATAGCTTCTGCCAAAGGTTCCAAAACCAAGATAAATAGTATGGGAGAAAGTGGGCATCCTTGTCTAGTTCCCCTGCCAATCGGGAGCGTTGAGGACTCAAAACCATAATATTTGAGTTTTGCTTGAGGGAACGTATATAATGAAGAGATCCAACGTAAAAACGAGGGACCAAATCCAAAAAGGTGAAGGACCGACATGAGATAAGGCCAGGACAAAGTGTCAAAGGCCTTGTTGATATCTAGAGATAGGAGCATCATATCAAGTTTGCGAACATGAGCCAAATGTTGTAACTGTAAAATGCGTCTGATGGCATCTCCGGCTTGTCTGTGGGGGACAAAACCCACCTGGTCCTTTTTTATCAGACGAGAAAGGAAAGAATTCAAACGAGTGGCTAAGATCTTGGTGAGGATTTTCATGTCAATGTTAATAAGAGAAATTGGCCTATAGTTTGCCCAAGAGGAATGGTCTCGATCCGGTTTTGGGATCATAACCACATTAGCAGTCAAAGAGTCAGGGGAAAAGTTTGAACCTCCCTTCACCGCATTGAACATAGCAGCAAGGTGAGGGGCAAGCACATCAGCCAATTTCTTGTAATATAAAGCCGTATAACCATCTGGACCTGGGCGTTTGCCCGTCTTCAGATCCGCAATGCATTGCAGAACTTCCGATAATTGGATATCACGGTCCATCAGGTCCTTATGAGCCTGAGTTAAAGTAGGCAAGGACAGATGGGATAAAACGTCAGAAATAGACTTAGGGTCAGCCCGTGTAGGATCTGTATAAAGTCTGGCAAGTCGATGCCGGAACTCCTCCAATACCGCTACAGGGTTACTTGTGAGAGCATTCTGACGAGTGCATATTGAAATCGGTTTGGGGTGATGTGTAAAAGAGCGTAATCTGGAATGTGGAATCTGGCTTATTTGCTTTACTATACCACTTCTGGTGCGTCCAACGCAAAGAGCGCTCAGCCTCATCTGTCAAACAGAGATCCAGTTCCAGGCGAGCCTGATCTAGCAGTCTACGGTTCGATGGTGTAGGTACCTGCTTAAATTGAGCCGATGCGGAAGCTAGCTTTGATTCCAGCTGACACTGTTTATGTTGTCTATCCCTCCTCCGCCTCAAAGCTATCTGAATAATATGGCCACTAAGAACAGCCTTGTAAGCTTCCCACAATGTCACCGAA